CTTCTTTCTCCTGTTCTTTTCTCTTCTCCAAAAACCCTAACCCTTTTTCCAAAAGCATAAACAGATTTAATTCAGCTTAGGCCCCTAATTAATTAAAAACAAAATTAAAATAAAAGGGTAAGGAAAAGACCAAACTACCCTTAAAAATCTGGATTGGACTTTTCTTATTCCAATAGCCCAACTTCCAAAGGGAATAACTCACTCATACAAACTCGGATTTGCACAAACTTGGCGGCATTGTAAAAATCCTTCCAAGAGCTTTGCAACCATATCTAGTAGTACACCTAACTCATCCTGAGCTAGGAATTATGGTCGTTTGAAGTTGACCAAAACTCAACTTTTTCCTAACTTAAACAAATTTCCAGACTTTAATTCTTTCCAAAAATGACTATTTCCAATTATAAGCTTCTTCCTAGTTATTTCAAATTGTGAGATGTTACAGGATGACTTGATAAAGGTGATTTATATTTATTTTAAATCATTAGGGAATTACTACTTACTTATATTTTCTCTTGGTTAATGGATCTTTGTCTTTGGAATATTATCAATTACTTCATGTACTTGTTCTTTATTTTCTTAGGTTGATCCTTATGTCAAGTCAATGAACTTAAAAAAATGTCCATTATTTGCTAACTGGGAAGAGATATTTGGCAAGGATAGAGCTATTGGAGAGTTTGTCGAAGGGCCAGATGATGTTATTGAAGAAATAGAAAGAATTAAAGCTCAAGAAATTACTAATGGCACGTCTGTGGGATTTCCTATTGATGTTGTCAACGTAGATGATGTTTCAGGCACAAGAGAAGATCAAGTTGCTCAAGAGGAACCTAATGTATCAACTGGAGCAACACAAAGTCCATTTACTGCTCAAAATGAACCTAATGAATCAATTGGAGCAGCACAAAGTGCATTCACAACTCAAAAAGGTGAAACCCATCAATCTCAGAATAATTTTAAAGCATCGTCTTCTAAAGTCAACGAAAAAGGTAGATGCAAAAAAAGAAAAACAAATGAAGATGATAATGAGACTGTTATTAAAGATTTGATGGAGGTGATGAAACAATTCACTGAAAGCCATGATAAGAGGATGCCTTCTTTAATTGACAAGCTAGGAGAGCGAGATCTATCTGATATTCGTGGTAAGATATTTTCTATTATTGAATCCCCTGCATTTGAAATATACAACTCAGTTGAACGAGTCAAGGCAGCAATGGGAATTACTAAAGATATAAAGAGGATGAAATTCTTCTTAAGCATCAGTGAACTTACGTCACAGTATGATATGGATGATTATTAATGATAAACTTTAAATCACTGAATGATTTTTGTGTAACTATTTTGTAAGGTCTAACCATAATGGGATTTTTTGTTACTTAGTAGAATGTCACAAATGTACATATATGTGAATGTTGTGGGCTTAAAGTAGGTTGTTTTTGTATAACAAATGCATGATTAGGTTCAACATTAATGTTTTTATAAGTAGCCAACTCAGATGCTCTTCAGATTGCTCAAAACGCTGACCCAAACGGTAAGTTCATCATCTTCTCCAAGGTGTTTTTAATTTCTTCTTCTCTGAGACTATATTGAACATTTATTTTCTCGCAGACTATTCAGCAGTTGGAGTAATCACAAAGATCCAGTCAGAAATACAAAGTACTAAGATGCTATTTTGTCAATTGATTATATGTTGTTGGGGGTGGTATTCAACTTTTGAAGCTTGGTGTTTGTCATAGAAGGATAATGTTACAAAAAAAAAATACTTCTTTTGAAAAAAAAATGTAATTATATGTCTTTGTTGTATGTGCCAGCTTTTGAAATTCAACAATGAATTATGTAAGTTTCATTCACTTTAAATGAAGATGTGTCTAATATTTTAATATTGAATTATGTGTGAGTGAATTCTTTCCTCATGAATGCTTTCTCCTTTAGCTTAATTTATATAGTCACGTAGTTGAGGTGCTCTAAAATAAAAAATATCACATCATTAAGAAAGCACTAGCAGGTTGGAAGTGGCAGGCAAACTATAGTAATTGTGACAAAGACATGGATTTAGATCCTTTGGATTGATAGTTGGTGAAAGTGACAGATTAACATTTTAAAGAACAACTAATGCACCGTCAAGTTATCTATTCCTCATAATGTATTTGATTGTTTTTAATTAGAAGTGATGAAGTGTCACAACTATCTATCTATCATACACAATTGAAATGGTCAGCATTGGAGGTAATAAATCCATCCGTCATTTGGTTAGTAATGGAAGATTAATGCAATTCTTAAGGAGTGAAGAATAATTGAATGGTAATCCTGTTATGGATTATGAAGTTAGACTTTGAGCAACTAATGACATAAATAGGCTTGGCAGATTTGAGAACAGTTGGAAAACCATTTGGACTAAATTTTCAAATTAAAACGCCTAATCGCACAAACTCAAAATAAAAGCCTCGAAACCCGAACCAGTCATCCTACTAGATCAAAAATGACCTTTCGGATCTAACCGCGCTGACGAAATTCTCATCTGATCACATTTCACAAAGAATATTAACTAAAGTCGAACTTTGACTAAGTTTCCAAGTTAAACGCCTAATTGCACAAACTCAAAATGAAAGCCTCAAAATTCGAACCAGCTATCCTACTAGACCAAAAATAACCTTCCGGATCTAACCGAGCTGACGAAATTCTCATCCGATGAATTTTTACCAAGAATATTGACTGAAGTCAAACTTTGACTAAATTTCCAAGTTAAAACACTTAATTGCACAAACTCAAAATGGAAGCCCCGAAACCAACCATCCTAATAGGACAAAAATGATCTTCCTGATCTAACAACGTTGACGAAATTCTCATCCGATCACGTTTTACCAAGAATATTGACTAAAGTCGAACGTTGACTAAATTTCCAAGTTAAAACACCTAATTGCATAAACTCAAAATGAAAGCCTCGAAACCCAAACCAGCCATCCTACTAGACCAAAAATGACCTTTCGGATCTAACCACATTGACGGAATACTCACCCGATCACTTTTTACCAAGAATATTGACTGAAGTTGAATTTTGACTAAATTTCCAAGTTAAAATGCCTAATTGCACAAACTCAAAATGAAAGCCTCGAAACCCAAACCAACCATCCTACTAGACAAAAAATGACCTTTCAGATCTAACCGCGCTGACGGAATTCTGATCCGATCACGTTTTACCAAGAATATTGATTAAGGTCGAACTTTGACTAAATTTCTAAGTTAAAACGCCTAATTGCACAAACTCAAAACGAAAGCCTCGAAACCCAAACCAATCATCCTACTAGACCAAAAATTACCTTTCGAATCTAACCGCGCTGACGGAATTCTCATTCAATCACTTTTTACCAAGAATATTTACTGAAGTCGAACTTTGACTAAATTTTCAAGTTAAAACGCCTAATTGCACAAACTTAAAATGAAAGCCTCGAAACCCAAACCAACCATCCTACTAGACCAAAAATGATCTTCTGGATCTAACTGTGCTGACGAAATTCTCATCCGATCATGTTTTACCAAAAATATTGACTAAAGTTAAACTTTGACTAAATTTCTATGTTAAAACGCTTAATTGCACAAACTCAAAACGAAAGCCTCGAAACCCGAACCAGCCATCCTACTAGACCAAAAATGACTTCCGGATCTAACCGCGCTAACGGAATTCTCATCCGATCACTTTTTACCAAGTGTATTGACTGAAGTCAAACCTTTGACTAAATTTCCAAGTTAAAACGCTTAATTGCACAAACTCAAAACGAAGCCTAGAAACCCAAACCAACCATCCTACTAGACGAAAAATGACCTTCCGGATCTAATTGCATTGACAGAATTCTCATCTGATCATGGGCTGAAAATCAAAGGTCCAAAGGGGATCTTGACAACTTTTCAAGGAAGCTAATTACAATCAATCACAAATTATCACTTTCATTGTCGAATATGAGAGGATTTTGAGAGCAGAAATCGTAAAAGAAATGGCCAAAAAAAAAGAACATGAAGGAGAAGCAATGGCGAAGAAAGAGGGAGGAAGAAGAGTGTGGGACCCACAGTTCAACTTAACAGTTTTATTTTATGTTTTCAGTTAGTTTTTAGGGCTAGGACCAAAATGATACTTTTTATGTATACATTAAGAACTATTTAGATAAGATGGTATAGATTAAGGACCAAAATAATTCAAACCCTATACATGAAGGACTATTTTGATCATTTTCTCTATATAACAACAATACATCATTAATAACAATCATAAAATTTTAGACAATGTTGTCACTATAACGAGTTTCATCAAAAGATATTCACAAAAAGAGTTAATTTTAAATATAATATTTTTATTTATTACATTGTATGTATAGTTTAAATTCATCGTTAGGTAACGACGAAAAAATCTATTTTATGTAACAATCGATTTGGTATAATGGCGTTGTTACCTTGATATTTTCTTTTCATTCCGTCTTTATTTATTACTTAATAATTATATTTCATCTTTTACTCTAACTTTTCATAGTAGCTCTACCGCGCACCCTACTTTCCTCGTAGGTTTATCATTTTCAAATTATGAATGTGTGAACATAATGTAACGACACAAAACGATACAATCTATCCAAACATTGTATATTCATTAAAACAGTATAGTGCGATACAATACAACACAATACGATATATTATGAAATAATAAAACGTAACAACCATCCAAACAAAGTTTGTAAAAAATATAATATTATAATAATTATTACTATAATTATTCCTAGTCCTAGTAAGTAAAGGATTACCTGAACACTGTTCGATATTATATTCCTATTTCTGTCCGGTTAAGGAACGGTAGTTGCTTAGCCCTCTTTCACAATCTATAAATTCATATTGCTGCTTACTATTTGCTCTCTACAAAACTTAAACTTACTTTTATTCAATAGTATAGTATTACTAATTAATTACTTCCTCTGTGAATTTAGAAGCACATACATAGTTTCTTCCTCTTTTTAGTGTTATCGATCATGAATTCGAATTTGCATAATTTTTGGCAATTCACACCAGATTATCCTCCCTATTATCAACCTCCGCCAAATTACTACGATCCATACTTGAGCGATTTCTATGCTACCATGATGAATTATCACATGGAGTGTTATTATTATTATTATGATTATTTTTGTTATAATTATTATCTGTCAACAAGTGGACTGGTTGATGAAAGTGAATCCGATTATGATTCCGATTATCTGAGAGACTTATTTGGAGATGTTGTGGAAAGCGACGATTACGAAGACGAGGAGGAGGTTACAGAGGAGATTATAGGAAATATGATGAAAACAAGAATTCATTGTGGTGGTAGTGACGATGGAGAAGAAATAATATGTGTTATTTGCCAATGTGAATATGAGAATGATGAGACAATTGGAACTCTTGAATGTCAACATGAATATCACTCAAGCTGTATAAAGGAATGGTTGCTGAAGGGGAAGAGATCTTGTCCAATTTGTAGGTCTTCAGTTTTACCGTTATAGAAACACATGTCGTACAGAATCTTCACTTTGCACTTCTTTTATTTATTTGACATTTTTTCTGTTGAAAACTAAACTTTTAGAATAGACAAATTTCTCTTATATTTTTAATTTACATTCATGATCGAAAACATTTAAAGTAGGTTTTACTTCACTATTATAAAAATATATAGTACTAGCAGCTATTTACCAATTTAACATAACTACCAACTCCTTTGAATATGCTCCAAAATATGATCGACATGAATGAGACAGAAAACTAGTATCTGAACTCAATCAAAACAAGTTTAAAACAATTCAGGATAGAAAGCTTCTTCTAATACAAGTTTGAGTCCAAATTAGAGCATTAAAAGTTTGATTTGATAAAATTAGAGCAAAATATTTCAATAAAACATCAAGTAAATGTTTTTTGGGATAAAATTATCGAGTTGCGATCTATTAGGGGTGTGCGAAAATCAAATCGACCAATAAACTGAATTGAAAAAAATGTTATTGGGTTAATGGATTTTTAATGGTTTTATAAAATAAATTTATTGGATTATCGGTTCAGTTTCGATTTTTAGTTTTAGCCTATTAGGTGGGGTAAATCGATAACTCTTTAAGACGGTAGTAATTTACTACTTTACCTTTCATAAATGTTAAATATTACTAGTAATTTAACATAGCTAAACATTTTATCAGTACTCTACACTACAATCTACATGATTAAATATTATCTTTCTTGTTTCACTATATCAAAACATTTACAACTGATTTGTTTGTTTCATCGTATCACGCCAAATTATTAGAAATGTGAGAAGTCATATATTTATTTTATGAGCATTTTCTTATTGGATAAATCGAAAGCCGAACTATTAACGATAAAAAAATGATAGATCGAAAACCGATAAAAAATCTCTTATCGATTTTTTATTGATTTAGCGTATTTAAAAACTGATAAACGGAACCGATAATACATAAAATCGAATCGAACCGCACCGCACACCCCTAGTAATCAAATCTCGTTATAACAAAATATTTCATTATAATGATTACTAGATTTCTTCAGAATCGATTTTTCATATTATATTTTACTTCTCTATAACAACATATATAATATCTTACTAGAAGTGACATTCATTATAACAACATTCTTTTCTAATTTTTTTTATAGAAAATTAACTCTTTCTAAATCAATTTTACTATTATATTTTAATTCTCTATAATAACTTTGTACCTATAATAAAAGTGATATTCATTATAGAAACATTTATTTTTATAAAAAAAATAACTCTTCCGCCCCTCTATAATAATTATACTCAAATATTATGTAATAATATTATATAAAAATATATTATGTATAAAAATAAAAGGGTGAAAATTGTTTTCACCTCTCAACTTTGCTTTAAAAATCAAACTCCTCCCTCAACTTTGAACAATAATCAAACTCTCCCCTTTATCCTAATTAAATCTTAAGAATGTCTATCATATGGTCATAACATTTTGAGTGTGAATATCTAAAAGGAAAATATTGTATTTAAATTGTGATGGTCAAAACTAGGGTTGTTCATGGTTATGGTTAAAAAATCAAACTGAACCACAATTCGAACCAAACATATTAAAAATTGAATTTTGTTTTGGTTTGGTTATATTTGGTTTTAAATTTTAAAAAATGATATTATTTGACTTGGTTTTGATTTTACTAAAAATAAACCACAAAAATAACCAAACCGAACCGAGAAATATTTATATATATATATATATATATATATATTAATCATAAAATAAAATATAAATACCTTGTTAAATTTTAATTAACTTAAGTCGTTAGCTTTACCATTTTCTCAAGCCCAACACTTAAATTTTAGTTCAACTATTACGACCCTAAGTCCAAATCCATTACTTTAGTATTTACCTACTCTACCCCACATAAGATAGTGACACTTTCTCTTAGTTGAATCACTTTGTTCGTGTAATAATAACTCTAGTATTGCTTAATTAAATCCACAATAGCTTTCCTATGGATTGTTCATGTACTAGGTCTTTGTCTATCGAGATACGTATGTCTTCAAAAATTTATTACTTTCAAATCGAAAGAATAAAAAAAAACTGAACCAAACAGACGGTTATTTTTTCGTTTGGTTTGGTTTTAGAAATTTAAAAACCGAGTAATTTGTTTGGTTTCTATTTTAACGAATAACAGATCCAAACCGAATCATGAACACCTTCACGAGAAAAGATTATTGTGTCCATAGATTTTCTCGATTATATTTTAATTCTCTACAATAACATTGCACCTATAATAGAAGTGACATTCATTATAGCAACATTTACTTTTTTTATAAAAAAAAAATCTTCCGTGAAGTTCCGCCTCTCTATAACAGTTATACTTGCAATTTATTGTATAAAAATAAAAAAATAAAATTCTTGAATGAAACTTAACCAAACTTATGAGATATTCTAATTAATTAATAAGTGGTATATTGATAAATTATATGTATGTAAGGCATATTTTAATTTTCAAAAAAATAATTTTCTGCTTCTTATTTTTTAAAGAAGTAGAAATTTTTAGTTTCTTCTCAACAATAGAAAAACTGTTTTGTTTTAAGAATTCGTCATACGATTAATTTTTCAAAAAAAAAAAAGATTATTTCTCAACAAAAGAAAAAACACTTTTGGAATTATAAATTAACTTTTGACTTACATTGTTTTCATATTTAGTATAAAATACTAATATTATTATTATTATTCCTAATCCTAGTAAGTAAATGATTACCTGAACGCGGTCCAATTTCTGTCCGGTTTAGGAATGGTAGTTGCTTATCCCCTCTTTCACAATCTATAAATTCACATTGCTGCTTAGTATTTGCTCTCTACAAAAGTTGAACTAACTTTTATTCATTAGTACTACCAATTAATTAATTAGTTCCTCTGTGAATTTAGAAGCACATACATATATAGTTTCTTCCTCTTTTTGGTGTTATCGATCGATCGATCGATCATGAGTTCGAATTCACATAACTTTTTGCAATTCACCCCGAATGATCAACCTCTGCCAAATTACTACGTTTCAAGAAACATGGCTTATCCACGTTGGTATGATAACAGATACTCGAGGAATTTCTATGCTACAGCGACGAATAATTACATGGGGTATTATTATCGAATAACAAGTGAAAATCAGTTACGTATAAATTCCCAAAGTCAACCAAATAATCACATTGGTGATCCACACAACTATCATCGTACAAATAACGGACAAAGTTCGTTTGATGACAATAATCCAAACTTGAGGGGTGACGTCTATAATCAGGCAACAAGTAAATTCCGTAACTATGTGGCAAGCATCAAATCCAAGGTGGAGGAGTTTATAGGATTTATGATGAAAACAAGAATTCATCGCGCTACTACTGATCATGATGATGATGATGATGGAGGAGAAATATGTGTTATTTGCCAATGCAAATATGAGAATGATGAGACAATTGTCACTCTTAAATGTCAACATGAATATCACGATAGCTGTTTAAAGCAATGGCTGTTGAACGGAAAGAGATGTTGTCCAATTTGTAGGTCTTCAGTATTGCCCTAGTATAAACACATGTCATACAAAACCTTCACTTTTACTTTTGTAAACATACTTCACTTTTATTTATTTGACATTTTTTTCTCTGTTATCTGTTGAATTGACAAGTTCTCTTACATTTTAAAACAAGTTAAAAACAAGTCAGGGTGGTCTAAAAAAAAACTTCTTCTGATACAAGTTTGAGTCCAAATAGGAGAAAGAAAAAAGTTCAAATAAGAGAATAAAAAGTTTGATTTGATAAAAGAGCAAAAATATTTCTTTATGTTTTTTGGGATAAAATTATCAAATTGCAAGCTAGAGGAGTCAAACCTTGTTATAACAAAATAGTTTATTATAACGGTTTGATCTTCTTCAAAATCGATTTTCCATATTATATTTACTTCTCTATAACAATATTGTATCTTGCTATAAGTGACATTCATTATAGCGAATTTTTATTTTTTTGGAAAATTAACTCTCCTAAATCGATTTTTTCAAGATATGCAAAAATTGAACCGATCAATAAATCAAACCAAAAAAAGTGACATTCATTATAAAAACATTTATTTTTAACAAAAGTAACTCCTCCGCCTCTCCCTGTATAACAGTTATACTCAAATATAATGTAATAATATTATTAAAAAAAACATATTACGTATAAAAATAAAAGGGTGAAAATCGTTTTCACCCCTCAAGTTTGCTTTAAAAATCAAATTTCCTTCTTAACTTTGAACAATAATTAAACTCTCCCTTTATCCAAATTAAATACTATAATGTCTATCATAATATTTTAAGTGTGAATATCTAAAAGGTCGTGTCCATCAATTATATATATACATATATTCTAATTTTTTCGATTTAATTGATTAACAAATAAATTTCTTCATTTTGATCCACAATATCATTAAATTATTGAGAAAACAACCAAATACCCCCTCAACCTATTACGCAATTCTCAACTATACATCAATACTTTACGGATATCCTATTACCCTCTTGAAGTATTTTGAACAGAGATATTAACACCCTTAAGTGTTGATGTGGCACAGCAAGTGTGTTCACTTTCCTAGAGGCAAGTGTAAGGCAGATAAAGAGGTCAAAATTAAATGATTTGACAACTGTCATTTCTTAATAGAATTCAATACAATTAATAAGTAATTTAGTTAATTACAATCACATACTCTCTCTCTCTAACCATTACCAACCTCTAAAATTAAACCTCTGCAATTGAATTTTGCCATGGCTTCCATGGACAATTACCTATAAAATATTATTTTTTTTTCATTTTTTTCACTTTTAATCCACAATGAACTTTTTCATGACTAACACCTTCAAATCTTTCCTAAAAATAGACAACATAACCAAAAGAAAGAAAATGATAATCCTTTAATTTCTTTCACCTCAATGGAAAATACTTTCAATCCGATATTGAAAAATGATACTACAACTTCTGCTACAG